TTTTTGTGTACCGTGTTTCTTTTAACGGTCTTAGACTTACTGCTTTCATTTATAAAACAGTCTATATCATTAGTCATGCGAAATTCATGCACAAAATCTGGTTGCCTTTTTGCTGTTACATCTGTCGTGCAATGTGACAACTGCAAAAGTTGGTTCCACGAAGCGTGCAGAGATCTAATAGCAACAGCCTATAGCAGACTCAGCAAGTCTGATCGTAGGTGGTTATGTGCAACGCTGATACTGTATTTCCGCTGAGTACCGTCATTACCCTACTAACAGATCTGAGGAACAAGTTGTCTAAAATCTTGGTGACTGATAGTAATACGACGGGTAGCGAAACAGGAACGCACAGTGCAATCAAGAAAAAGAATATCGACAGGCCGACTATCGACGGTGCAGGTAAAGCACGAGTGATGATATGCTGAAATTCAGCACCATCTCAACATCGACGGTGATCGGCTCCCTCAGTAAACTTAGGTCTCCCAGGGAAGAGTCCTTCAATAAAACAGTGGTTCTCAAAAACCCTGTAGTTGGTCGGACTCATGTTAACAGGGTTAAAAAATACCAGGTGCCACTGCCTAAGCTGTACAAAAATCCTGTAGGTGGCTGGACCCGCGTTAACGGGGGTAAAAAGGAACAGGAGTCACTGCCTAAGCTGAACTTCCCAAATACTGTGTGGAAATCAATTGGTGATTTGTCCACCCAGACTACCCCCAAGACTGTCCCCTCGGTCATCACCGAGCTTAAAAATCGAATACGCGCTTCTATAACCAAACAACAAGGTATCGAACCTGGAGGCACTGGAAAACCCGGGAAATCAGTAACGGTTCGCGACGACTCTGTCATAATCATGAACCTTAATGACAACCCTGACCTTCCCTCAGTTTGCAAGACAAAAACGATAGGATGCCCTGGAGAGAATTGAACCAGAAGCTTGAGCTCCCTAGAATAGAGCCTTTGACAATCACACTACTCACTCGTGGAAAGGACTCTAACAATCAAAACCACCCGAGGCTGCTTGGTGTTACACTTAAGAATGCCTCCGACGTAGAGGACGTCCTTCTAGCGAGTCACTTACCGAAATCTAATGGGAACGTAAGAATACTGCCCGGCAAACCATATTCTGAGCGTAATCTCATCCCGAATACTTATAAAGAATCTCGCGAGGCGTTCTTCCGCGAAAGGAATATCATTGGGTAAGGTGTACCGGAAAATATTGACTCAGCTCAAGCAAACTCTGATATTCAGGGATAGAAATTCATCAAGCATTCCTTGAAACTCGAAAAAATACTGACCAACAGGTGACGCGACTAGCCAAGAGAGACGGAGACTCCAGACCCGACTAATGAAGATGACCTTCCCCTCCTCCCATATGGAGACTGCAACTCTGGGAGCATTTCGTGTCAATAGACAACGGTTGCCAACTGGCATCCATATGCATCTGGATAGGCCACAAGACAATAGGATCAAGCACAAATGCATGCTGGGGCTGACGATTCCACTTGTAGACTGTCTTGATTATAAAAAAGGTTTAAAGGGCAGGGACTACCAAATCGGTAAACATCGTATAGGTAGGCTACCTGTCCGCTCACGCAAGTCTCATATAGACAAACAGGAAGAAGCTCACACGTTCTAAATTGAAAGCATAAATTGCCTATACACGAATGCCGCGAACTTGCCAAACAAAATGGATGAGCTACATGAACTTTGCAATGCTATCGATGTTCATCTGATAGGTATATCCGAAACTTGGATAACGTCTCAGTTTACGGACAAGGAGTTAGCAGTACCTGGAATGTCTTTGTTTCGCGACGACAGGAAAATTGGAATGGGCGGCGAGGTAGCACTATACATACGATCATGTCTGGAGGCGCAACAACTTCACAACCAAGAGTTTCTCAATCTTGATGAATAAGTATGGTGCTCAATAAGATTGTCTACCACCTCAAGGTGTCTAGTCGGGGTCATCTACAGGAAGCCCACTGCTGACATCGAGTACGACAATCGTTTGATGGAAGGATTAACCCGCTCTACGCGTCTTCGATTGTCTCATATCCTAATTGTAGGGAACTTCAATCTTCTTAGAATCAACTTCGCGGAACATATCTTCATTAGAGTTGACAGCTCTACTGAATCTCTGTTCTTCAACCTCATTGATGATCTGGTATTATTCAAGAATGTTAAGTCGGCGACTCATTGGAAAAACAGTCAGACGCCGATGCGCTTAGACTGGGTACTCAAAACTGAAGAATTCTTAGTAAACAACCTCGCAATTCTGTCTCCCCTAGAGAAAAGTGATCACCCCATCCTATCTTTCAGTTTTGACAGCGAAACGGAGCTAAGATATCCCACCAACAACGGGCGCTGTAATTTCAATCGGTTGAATGTGTTAGCTTAACATGACTATCTACAACAGGCGGATTGTGATGTTCACCCTCAACTTGAAGTGGATGCTAATTGGGATTTTTTACTGCACACGATCTTATGTGCTACTAAGCATTCAGTTCCTCAAATGGTCACAAAAAGCTACAAACAACCTACAATTGTGAAGAACCGCACTCTTCGTTTGCTGAGCCTCATAAGGCACTGTCGGGCCAAATATAACCGAACTGATAACAAGGGCGCGTTCATTCAATACATGCATATAAGGAACATATGCACAAAGGCAATGAGAGAAGACAGGCTTCAGTACCAGACCAAGCTATTCGGTAAGTTTGTCTCCAATCCGAAAAGCTTAGTCCGTTACGCAGCTTCTCTTCGACAGGCAAAACTGGAGTTTCTCAACTGCTAGGTACTAACGGTCCGACCAATAGCGACGACGATGCCCCTGATCTTTCGGGTGAGCAATACTCTTGAGCAGTTCAACTGACCCACATCAACTATTATGATGAAAGCTTCAAGTGCACCTGCACATAACTTTCTGAAGTGGACGTGAGTGATGACCTGGTGCTTCGTAAACTGCAGCACATAAGAAAAGAGACTTCTCCCTGTCCGGACATAGTTCATTCTGCTATACTGAGGGAAACAGCTTCAACCCTGACATCACCACTTAGCGTGATGTTTTCACACTCGCTAAGTAAAGGCAAACTCCCGTAAATTCTGAAGCTGGCTCATATCACACCAATTTTTAAAGGAGGTCGACGCAGTGAACCCTTAAGCTTGCGACCAGTGGCCCTTCACTTCATACCTTCTAAAATAATGGAGTCTCCAATATACGATGGTATACAAGAATACTTAATGTCCCCACAGTTTTTCTCTCCTCAATAGCATGATTTCAGAAAGGGTCATCTTTGTATGACCAACCTGAGAGTGCGGTGGGTAGATGAACAACCATCCTTGATCGCAAAGGAAAGATTGACGTCATCCACCTTGATTTCTTAAAAGCTTTTGATAGGGCCAAACATATATGTCTTATCAATGAGCTTTGGCGATTGAGTATCAAACCACCTCTGATTGACTGGCTCGTTTCATATCTGGAAAGCCAGCATTTTAAGGTCAGTGTTAACCACACTCCCTCTCAGGCTGTGGAATGTCCTAGTGCGGTTCCCCAGGGCACAATACTAGGACCTCTTCTCTTCTTGATCTACATTAACGATCTTCCACAGCAAATTTCGACTAAATTATTGCTTTTTGCTGATGATGTGAGATTTTGGAGAGAGATACGTAACCAAAAGGATATACCGGCACTTCAGGAGAATCTGACTCGACTTCAAAGTTGGGCAGATGACAACAAACTTTTCTTCAACACTTCAAAGTGTAAAGTAGTCCATCCACGACATGTTGCAGACTTCAGTTACAACTTGGGAAACTCCTCTGTAGAAGTCTCCCAAGTCGAAAAAAGATTTAGGAGTGTTGGTACAATACGACCTCAAGTCGTATGCTAACTGTGACAAAAACGCATTTCCAGCAAACCTTGCACTGGTAACATTGAAGCGCATTTTTGGGCAGTTTGACGGTAGAACTTTCTACATAACCTTCAACAGTTTTATTCGGCCCCATTTAGAGTACGGAAACATAGTAATTCCTCCCTCCCTCCAAAAGGATAAGGACACTTTGAAACATATCCAGCGGCGAGCAACGAAATCAGTTCGGGGACTCAAATTCAAATATTATGAAGGGCGCCCCCAATCACTTAACCTTTACCGTTAGAGTACAGGCGTCTTAGTGGTGACCTTCTTATGACTAACAGTATCCTCAACACTTCTGGTCATCCCCTCAAACATCTTAAGCTTAGTCACAACATCAACCCAGAAACTGGAGACCCAACATAGCAGAACAGACTGCAGACACAACTTCTACTCCGTAAGAGTTGTCAAATGCTAGAATTCGCTGCCAACTGAGCTGGACCAAAAGACTTCGCAGGAGTCCTTTACGAGGAAACTTGACCTTTTCTTTAGGACGAAGGATAACATATTCTATTCCATCCACAACCGTTTGGACCATTTTATAGAAAGAAAAGTCAATACATTGGAATCCGTGCACGCAAGCAAAGTTATAGTAGCTCTGCAATGCCTTATCTGGTAAATATACCATATGACGAACATACTGTTAAAGTTAGCAGCTTGTGTCCTTAAACATGTATCTGGTTAAAATGAAAATCTCAAAAACAGATTTTACTTAATCCCAGGTGGTTTATTCAGTTAACTTACATATATATATATACATATGTATGTGTTAATCGCTTTCTTTCACTTTTTTCCTTTTTCTGAAAGAAACTTGTTGAAATACTTTGTCATGAGAATTCTATATCGTACCACACATATAATGTTGAACAAAGCCACTGATAATTATAATGTATATATCCTTCGCATTTATTTATAATAAACTCTTAATTTACAGTACTTCGTAGACAATCAGCATAGTTTAAGTCGAAAATCAAGTATTCGATGACCACATCATTTGTTTATATGGGTATTAAACCTTATAATACCTTCATTATTCGTTTTACTGCACCACACACTCAGAAATCAGCTGATCCCAAGGTTGTAGTTAATCGCGCTATGGTCCTGCTTTTACAAACGACGAAGTTTTCTGTGTTGGTTTACCGTGGTCTGCTGCTCTTTTTTCTTGGCATATGTTTTTGTTGGGCTTCTGAGGCACTACATAACATAAGGGGAGAATTCACGGCTTCAAAAATATCATTTTACACAGAAACTGCTGCGAAATTTTGGATATCATTTTGTTGTGGCGTTGCCTCAGGTATGCAGTATTTCTCAGCATTATGGTAAATTTTCAGTCACAGTAGGGCTTTTATCTCCATGCGTTGACTCTAAACTTGGTGCTTATGATGCTTACAATAAGGAGTGGTCTTCAGTTCTGCGGTGTTCTGCTCTGTTCTTCGGTTTCAGCCATGCAACCGCTAGAATAGACTTTGCCACATACTCGCAGCTATCCCTTACAGCAATTGGACTATCTATTGCACTTTGGTGGGTATTTGACAGATCTCTTGTCGGATTTGTCTTTGGGATGGCAGTCGCATTACTAGCAACATTTATTTTTCAATCATTTGTTTGGAAACAGCTCTACAGGTAAATTGTTACGAATATAATTATCATATGTGTAGATTTTCTCACCCCATGATGGCTGCTTGGTTGCCTTGTCTCTTCTTCTCGGGTGGTGTCGTCATTGTCTTGGTTGGCCGACAATTAGCGAAACCTGATGTTATGGCGCTAATGCAAAGAAAAGTCAAATAATTTCGAATCCTGAAATCCCATACTACTTAGAAACTCGATTTCAAAAACACTGTACATAAAAATCAAACATGTATAGAAAAAATTAGTTCTTCCGTATGCATTTTATATATCCATAAGCTTATTATAACCTCATTACTTTTTGGGTTTCTTTGTTTGTACTCTGAATGCAGTTTATTTCATCATTAACATCAAATATACCTCAGTTTAAGTCTCCATTTTGAACTACTTTGTAACGAACGTCTGAAAAATATATTAATCTGTTCCTATTTGTTATGAGAAAGTTTTAGTAGTTTCTGCATCTTATGTAACTCAGTCCCTTATGTCCTAATTCTGTATATCCAAGTAAAACCTTTTTTCTTGAGAACTCTTTTTGTCTTCAGTAACTATCCGAATCTCATATGAAAATTTGTGTCAAAATCGCACATAAAATTATGATTTTCAATAAATCCATCCATTTCTCTATGTAAATTTTTCTCAGATTCAATCGTTACTTCATATATATCTGATTGTTAGTACTTCGCTAGTAGAGACAAGGCCTAATAACCCTTCCTTATTGTTCAAATATTTCGAAAGATCCGATTTTTCTAGTAGAGTCGTTAGCATTTATCCAAGTATTTTATTATCGTTAACCAATTGGGAAATAATGTAGTCCTAAGTTTACTTAATTAAGTCGTGGCATCTAAATTTTAGTGCCGTAGCTTTGAGTATGATTAGTCTCAGTGGGAAGGAGACGATATCATATGTTAACAATGAAGCATTGTTCAAGATACCAAATCCTAATGTAAGACTCAGTCACATTTCCAAGATATAATAGGGGGTGTAGGTCTGTGCAATCCAGCTTCTGCTTTTAAGAGAAGTTTAACAGTCTCTCTACTGACGTAGTACCAACTATCCGGGCATTCTTGATTGTATGATCATCCCTCGTTTAACATTAGTTACTTGCATGTGATATTTTAGATTGGACGTTAAGTAAGGGGAGTATTAAATCTTAAACATGCTTTGTCAAAACATTTGAATGCTTTCCTAAGTAGTCATACTATTTAAAGTCTAGTGACCACTACATAAAAAGGAAGTCGAGTGATTTTACTTTCGAATTTTCTCTTGAGCTTTTCGACATTTGAGAGCTGTTGCTAAAATGAGTCGTGTTATTCTCGTCACCCTATTTATTTGTATGTATATTTAAACACATAAACATTGGTACACGGAGGTACCAAATATATGCGCCACACTTCGTGATTCCGTTTGTGTGAGTGCTGGGATACACGGGCGCCCAGACCAAAGCAGGAGGTAACTTCTCGAGCCTTTGACATAGAGATCTAATGTACAGGGAAGTGGAACAACGTCAGGAGATGTAGTCCCATGATAGCCAGTGACTAACAATAGGTTCTTATGCCATTTGTTCTCTCAGGATCCTGGAGCCCATGTACACCACTAGTTTGGAATCAGGGTTTTTGACTCTCCTAGATGGATCCTCCATATCCACCAACCCGGTTAAAGCGCCAAACATTCACTTTTCGTCCTGTAAATTTTGTAAACAACACCCCAAGACAGAGGCCATGTTAGAGTACTTCGAGATTAAGAACGGACTATCCCAACCCTCGACCGTACCAGAGCATTTGGGATCCAAATTATACTTAGTGATTAGTTAGGTCGATATCAGTTAGATTTAAGACATTTTAGGAACTATACGTGCTAATTAATCTAATAGTTTGACTACTATCCGTCCGTGCTGTCGGAGAAAGCAGAAAAGTGCCCGCTGTGTCACAACTCAGAGTAAGGAGAGGTGTTCTAAACTCAAGGTAATCGCATTTTTATCGTCAAAATGATGAGTAGATTGCTTATTACTAGACTATGCTCAATAATATGATCTGGCCAGTTGACACCTAAATAAATCCCAAATAAGCTGATGTCAAAAGACTGCATAATTGGTTTTTTCCAAACTAAAAATATTCAACACAATTAAATACCAATATATGTGATTTAGCGCATGAATAGGTCTAGAATAGAGGTTTTTAGATCATTCATATCCCAATTAAATCGAAACTCAACCATCAGGTCGAATTCTCGCCCATTATATTAGAGGAAATATGAAGTACTAAATACATGTAGTTATGAAGGGAGTATGCTTGTAGATGATAAAAATACACTAGGTTCATCAGGGAAAATGATTAAGTACGTGCTGGAACTTTCTAGAAATCAGTCCTTTTATAAATCGACCTTATGCGTTTCAATTTCCGTCGCCGGTCAGATTTTCGTAAGCTCTCTCTAACCTATTGTAAGGTAAGCATTCAACTGCGCATTTGTTATCATGTTCGATAATTACTTAGTATGTAATATCTTATAAACAAAATAAAGGCTAGAGTTGATATTTAGAACGAAACAATCAAATTCATGTACTACGTGTGTGAATGAAGATATCCAATAACGTTGCAACTGACTAGCGAATTTTGTTTTATTGGATAAATGTTTTAAAACAGCTGAAGACTATGACCACGTATGAATAAACTGTAATGAACATGAAATCATTGGTCAATAGTGTACAAATTACTTATCGATTTATATTTAGACAACAAGGATGTTTATTGCACCGTAGAGATTTTATTTAGTGACTCAGTGATTATGACTCTCTTCTAACAAACACTAAGTTGCACAATCGAACCCCATTCCATATCTTCTTTAAACAACCTAGTAGTACTACTACTCCTCACAATTAAAGTGCGACTCCAAGTCAGTAATATCTAATTTCGTTATAATTTTCAGGTAAATTGCGGAAGGATAAACACATCTCATTTTCAGTGAATCCATATTTCAACTGTACATTTTTGTCGTGACGAGCAGCGTCCAAAATCTGATACATGCATCAGCATGCTGATGAGTCAAGAGAAGAAAGCACGGTCATACGTTCCCTTTAACTAAATGTGCCATTTCATGAAGTTGGTTGACGGAAACTAGGTATATCAACGAACTAATCTATTGGAAATAAACCCCACGTTATCGAGTTATCTAAGTGTATCGTAGTCAGTAATTGAGGTCATGTTTTTTGTCTAGCTAGTCACTCAATCGTAGATATTTTGGAAGGATTTCTATAATAGAATTAATTGAAGATATGTCTTTTGCTATGTTGTAATTTTTCTTCTATTACATTATGCTTGACACGTCCGTAGCATGATGGAGTGATATTTCCGTCGTAGGAAACGACAGAGCGAAACACGCTTTCCATCATGGATTACGATAGGGTAAATAATAATTCCCGCTTCATTTCCGTTGGTTGCCAGGTGCGAAGTCGAAAGTGCGAATATGACTGGAGTTTATCCTCACCCAATAAATCAGCTTATGGTGCGAAATTCAATCTTTTACCATAGCTGATCCTAATCCATGGTGTAAAACGTAACAATTTATTAAGTTAGAACTGTTTAACCATTATGATTATATCACTTTTCTGGTTAGCTATAAAGTACTTCAAGGTCTCTCACATACTTTACTTTTACCTATTAGTCTCATTTCTAGTGTGACAATATAAAATCGGTTTCTATTCTCAATGTAAGTACGATATCGTGATTATATTTTCCAGTATAGTATTATTTCAGGTCAATATTGTTTTATATTAATTAAGTGTGAACTTTCTCAAATTATAACGATTATATTCTCTTTAATTTGAGCACATTTTGTATGTGTATTACATTAACCTTATATATCTCTTCATGTATATAATGCTTATTAACTAACAATCAGTTATGTCTAAAATTGGCACATAAATAAGGGTATTCGATTTAACAATGTTGTGTTTTGTTTTTTGGAAAATCAATAAATCTTCGATCTTTATTAATCTTCTGTATTTTTACTTCAAATCATGGAGATTGTAATCGTTTACATTTTTAAGTATAAACATAAGAACCGCGAATATTAAATATACTAAAGGGAGTAAAGAAGAAAGAATGAATAAATAAGTAAACATATAAAATAGTTTAAATCATGAGTCAATTGAAGATAGACCACTGGAAAACCTGAAAGCACTGGACGGCCAACTCGTCCTATTATGGGACTCCTCAGAAGTGCCCATCCACGATCCCAATTTTGTGAGATTCTAACCCAAGACCTACCTCTAGACTACTGAGTCGGCATCCAACGGTGTTAATTTCTAACTTCAACCAATCTATGAATTTAAGCAACCTTTCACCAATGTCTTCAGTGAGTTGATATTTCACAACAGACCTAGTTGAACTCCACTGGTCACTGCTTATCACTAGAACTCCTAGATATACTTCTCGAAGTCACTAGTGAGCATATGATCATTGTTAGAACGGGGTTTTGTGGAGGTTTTAGTACTTTTATATAGTTGAAATCATTAGTCAATAGGACGAGTTGGCCGTCCAGTGCTTCCAGTTTTTCCATGGTGGTCTAGCTTCAATTGACTGATGATTCCAACTACAAAAAATTACTAAAATCTCTACAAGACCCCCTGATAGACCTATTTGTCAAACATCGATAAATCCTCAAGTAATCTTCGGATTTCTTCGAGTCAAGGTCCTAACATTTTTATAGTCAAATTTGTGTTCATACCTGCCTTTGTTTATAAGTTTGTGTTATGGTATTTTGCATGCTTTAACTGTTAATCGTTACTGATGCAAGCATTGGTATATGAATCATCCAATACAGTACTTGCAGTCAGTGTACTTTATCTTCTCCAGATCTTCACTCGTTTCTTTGTTAATTTTTATCTACATTTTTACAGATGAACTAATTTGGTACTTACAGAATATTTCTAAATAGATCACTGTTATTTAAAGTACATACTTACTAAGTTAAACCATCTAGTTAATAGAATTCAGTCACATATTTCAGTTAAAAGTATTCTTTACCACAATATCACTCATAGATACGCATTTCTGATTATTTACTGTTGGAGTTTCAAGAGGGAAGCAACAAACAGTAAAATAGAAGCTGAGTCAGAGTGATACCTATTGTAGTATTAGTTTATATGTTAAGCCCATATACTTTAT